TTGAGACCAGTCAGATAGGATTACGTCCAGTTCCCAAATTCTACGTAAGATCTCAGTCAATATCTCTGCTAATACTGGACCGCCTTCCTTAAAAATCTCAGGGGTAAACCTGTCAGAGCCTGCTGATTTGAAGGTTGATCGCTTGTTGCGAATTCTGAACGTCCTTTATTAAATCTTTAGTGAAGTCGAAAATACACACAGTTGAATAGTCCCATAATAAGACGAAGCAGCTGTTTAATTCTTCCTGATTTTTAGTAGTTGTCATATTACAAGTTCAACGAACTCCATAACCCCTCTACTGAAACCTCAAACTTAGTTATCTCTTTTCGCATTATATATATTCAAAGTTCAATCTTTTTATTGTTAGGCTTTTCAGTAGTTTATTATTGAAACAATCCATCATTTAATGCATTACATAATATCTCATTAACTAATTGACTTAATTATTTCTTTTCTACATTACCTTAACTTCATTTATTCCAAGCAAAGATGGATAGTGTCTAGCAGTGAAATACAGGATGTGCGTCCGATTCTGTTTAGAACTAGTCAGCTGGATGTACCTGCATCTTAGAGTTGTTGTCCACTCTGTGACTCGAACCAAATATCTTTCGCCACAAACGCCATCGCGTCTTGATAGCTACTTGCTTGTGCAGTGTGGCGAAAGTTAAATTCACTTGTTACTGTTTACTTTAATCTTCGCATTGATGTTTAGGACTACAAGTGATCAGTCTCTTATTGGCATATGTGCATACTGTGCGCGTATTGTCTCGATGTTGCCGTAATTCACAAGGATTATAAGCAAAGATGGATATTGGCTAGCAGTGGAATCCAGGACGCGCGTTTCTTCCTATTTGGGACTCATCAGTTGGATGTACCCGATAATATCGAGGCAATACGCATAGTATGCACATATGGCAATAAGAGACTGATCGATTGCAGTCCTAATCATCAATGGGAAGATTCAAGTAAAAACAATGCCAAGGGACGTTCATTTATTCCAGTTTTTACTCTTGTGATTTTCATGTATTTGACCTATAACCCCAATCCAAGTAATTATAATTACATACTAAACATATCAACATTTACAAGCATTAATCAACTTATTTCACCACTCATAACTAGTTAGTATCAAAAAGTGGTTTTGTGGATATTATAGTAATCTAATAGTTGAGTTCACAAATCAATTGAAGATAGACCACCATGGAAAACCTGGAAGCACTGGACGGCCGTTTCGTCCCAGTGTGGGACTCCTCAGTAGTGTGCGTCTATGATCCTGCCCCGAGGGACTCGGACCCAGGACTTATAGGTCTCCCGAGCGAACACATAACCTCTCGACCACTAAGCAGACATTAATTATTGCTTAGTTATGTATATGTTGTTAGAACTTGTGACCGCCGATGAGAGGGCAGTGAATTATCGATCGGAACAAGGATGCGTAAAACACGTGCGAGCAGCCTAGAGTCTTGATTGGTCCTGCTTTCCGCCTAGCCCAGCCAGTTAAGTCCAGAACACCGATTTCAGCCTCTGCAATATGAATCATTATATTTCAAACACACTGAGTTTATATACTAATCAAAGAGACCACAACGTATCAATAAAATATCAAACAACATTTGTACAAGAATTAGCCAGATGTGACTGTGAATGAGGGAGGCAGTGACTAATAGATAGGGAATAATTCAAGAATAGAAAATCGTATAATAATAGTTCATAGGTCAAAATAAAGCTTATGATAAGAGAGACATGAATAGTTTAGTTAATTAACAATTATACGATAAAAATATACGTATAGTATTGGTCCACAAATGGATCCCAAAAATTACCACTCATTATTCTTATCGAGGCATAACATATGTATATATTTTTTCTATGTTGCTCAATTTCACTAAAACTTATCTAATTTTAAGGTGAACATTACTATGATAAATACAGAATTAATGGATACTTTAAACAATGAAGGACAGGCATGTATATATATGTTTTAATTGATTTTAAGATCTAGAGTGGCTATCATTCTAAATAGCTGATATAAATGATCTTAATATATTGTCAGACAAGGCTGTCTACTATCCTCCTTCCTCTTTCTCCTGGTATTCTACTGGATTATGAAGACCTTGACATCTGAGGGAAAGCACGGAATACAGTAGACAGCTAGGGATTAATTAGAAGATTTAGACTTCGGAGATAACCTGGCCCTTCTATCCCATACAAACGAACAAATGCAGATGAAGAGAACTAGTATGGCAACAGCGTCTGCATCAGTAGGCCTCAACCGGACCACATTTGATGGGGAAACTATGGAAAATGTGGAATCTTTCACATACCTGTCAAGCATCATCGATGAACAGGGCGGATCGGATGCAGAAGTAAAGGCAAAGTAAGAGACGTATTCCTACAATTCAAAACGAATGGAACTCAAAACAACTGTTTGTCAACAAATATCAAAGTCAGAACGTCAGGACAGTCTCATTGTATGGAGCTGAAACGTGGAGAACTACTACAATCATCATCAAGAAGGTACAAGTATTTATAAATACCTGTCTAAGTAAGATACTCAATGTCCGTTGATCAGATACTACCAGCAACAGCCTAGTGTGTGAGAGGACAAATCAGCTTCGAGCTGAAGAGGAAATTAGAAAAAGAGTTTGGAAGTGGATAGGACATACATTACGGAAATCACCAAACTGTATCACGAGGCAATCCCGAACTTGGAATCGTGAAGAGGAACAGAAAAGAGGAACGCCGAAGAACACACTTTGTTGGGAAATGGAAGCAAACATGAAAAGGATGAATAGCAACTGGAAAGGATTGCCCAGGACAGGATTGAATGGAGAGTGCTGTTGGGTGGACTATACTCCTTCATGAGGGATAATAGGCGTAAGTATTGTGAACTGAACCTCTGATTACGAAAGTTTTAGGATCACAGTCGCTAATCGTGTGCTACATAGTTATTTTTCTACGTAATCGATGAGCCTACCAGGATTCTCACCAGTAAATCTATCAGTCACCCTTTTCCTTTTATAACACTCAAAGTTTATACGTTTTCAGTGTTGTACTTCATTTATAATTGATTGTCGTACTGTATCTTAAAGTTTTTATCTAATTGTATACATTTCAGTGCCGTTTTGGACATCACATCGGTACGTAATTTATATAAGGGTGACAATTACATTATCGGATTCACAGAATAATAACATTAAACTACAAGTAGCGTCAGACTGAGATACAAATCTTTTCCTGAATTCTATAAAAGATAGTTGGAATCCATGACTTCAGTAGAAATATAAATTCAATTTAATTTAAAATCTGTTGTAATTTATGATTGAGATCATGAGCCGTTAGACCACCTTTGGAAACCTGGAAGCACTGGACGGCCGTTTCGTCCTATAGTGAGACTCCTCAGTAATGCGCAAATGCTTAACCTACTGGACCACTGAGCCGGCATCCAATGGTGATAGTGTCTAATATCAACCAATCCACGAAACTGGTCCTACGTTGTAGCTGACTGACCCCATTTGCTTAGAGCCACACACATACACTCCGATTTGTATCACATCACACAGCATTGGGTAAAAAAACAACTAAACAAACACTAAAAAAACAAGTGTACACTGTATGAAATTTGTTGTATATTTTGAGATGGTAATTGATGAACAATATTTTTTTTTAAAAAAAAAGACCACTTCATATAATATATGTGTACGCAGAATACTAGAATGAGAACATTATCATCACTGAAGCAAAATTAACAAATACATATATCTATATAGTAATACAACAATGAACAAACACAGAATGATTAGATCTATTCCAATGACGAATTCATGTAATTCATCATTCAAAACGAAAAAAATTCCAGAAGATGGATAAATATATATTCCCATTAGATCATTATTTTAATATCCATGTGACAAATGATCAAGACAAGTGTGTAAAACAAATATGATGTTACTATGTACTTGAAAAGTTTATAAAAATGGAACATAATTCATTTTTATAAATTACAAAAAATAGACATACGAATATTAAAAAAAGCAACAACATGACAAATGACAGAACACTACACATACCACAATGGTGAAATTGTTGATAGATGCATAACATTAATGAAATAATCAAAATAACCGGTTGAAGAAGTATAAGACAACGGTGAATTACACATAAATGGTTATCTACACAATGATGGAATATTAGTAATAATTATTTCTTAAAAGAATAAACATGTCTACCCGGTAGTAGAATACTCTCTTTCCCTCACACACACACATACACAGTACTCGAAGAAGAAACAGAAATGACCGTTAGGAAAATCTTAAAAAAATTCCAACAACTTTTCATGGAACATGAGAAACTGATACAGAATCTAAGAGAAGAATGTAAAAATTGGGCAGATTTCTTTTATAAAAAAAAAATCAGTATAACAAATGTATTTTTATTACGATACAACCATAGGTGTTGTGTGTGTGTGGGTGTGTGTTAAATTTCGCAATTTTACTTCTTTGTGTCATTCGTGAAGTATTCCTTATATGTATCGAATAAAAATAACGAAGATGATGGTGACAATGAGAGAAAAAAGAAGAGAAGTGTAACTATGAGTAAACACACACACACACACACAGAGAGTACCACTGTGTTGTATGACAGGATTAATTAAAGATTGTGTGAAAATGAAATTGGTCATTCGAAGGTGAAAGAGAGAAAGAGGAAAAATCTCTCGCTCAGATACACAAGAGAAAAAAGACAACTCATATGAAATGATTAAATGATCATAGTAAATATGTATGTGTAGAAATGAACAAGTAGATTATAAACATACATAACTAAATTACATTATTCATTGTTATTTCTGAAATAGATGAACAATACAAAGTTGGAATTATATAATCATAATGAATAGGTTCGTGAAGAGAAACATATAGGAGAACTGCATGTTTGGAAATTCTCAATTATTTAAAGATTGGTTAGGTTGGTCGAGTGTTTTTTTTTTAAAAAAAATCAATTTATGCTGTTTGTACTGCACGATAATAAGCGTTTGCATCACGCCCATTCACAGCACAACAAAGAGTCATTGCAAATATCAAACCAATCAGCTAGAAGGAGATTTTGAAAAGAAAAAAAAACAAGCGTGATGTGGATGTTAGTTATAATTATTTAGTTAACCAAACCGTTATAACTAGGAAAATGAAAGGAATGTAACAAACTAGATGACCTACTTTTAAGATATTATTACTCTTAATTACTTTTTGTATTTGGTGTGTTGAATCTTTCTATTGATGATTATAACTGCAACTGATCAATCTCTTATTGGCATATGTACCTCCTAAAAGGATTACCATAATTTGCGATGGCGTTTGAAGCGAACGGTACACGGTTTGAGTCCTAGAGTAAACATCAACACCGGGATACAGGTACATCTAACTGACGAGTCCCAAGTGGGATGAAACGCATGTCCTAAATTTCACTGCTAGCCACCATCCATCTTTGCTTATTATTATCCCCAGTTTTTTATCTGTAGTTATAAACAGTTGGATTATTGGTTTTCTTTATTCGTCTAATCCTAAACTATTATAATTTAATCATGAGCACAGTATTCTGACTTTTACCCTGAATGCCTTACTTTTATTAATTATGGTATTCACTATTCTATTGTGCATCGTGGCCTACATGTGTACGCAGTTAGTTGAATACCTTTCGAGTTAACACCCATCGTCTTATTCGGACGTACAGTTTTTCGACCAATGCCAACTAACCGAAGTCCGCCTAGCGGATCGTTAGTCAGTCTATTCACCAATTTATTTGTTAAGGTTATACTAAAATTTAATAACCATACTGTCCACCAAACATTAGTTACATTTTCAGCAGTCGATGCGGAGCACTTATTTGATTTGATTATTAATGAGTTTGCAGGTATCAATGGTAAATAACTATTTAATCTCACGAAGAGGCTTACATCAAGGTCATGAAACATCAGAAATACAGTTTTCTACTCACTGTGATATTACAAAAAACATATTTATTAATATAATGCTAATTACGTCAGTCATATACACAGACACACGCTTTTTTTACATGAAACTTACCTCAATGAGGGCTATTGTAATAACCGAGATACATATGATTAGGAAATTATGCATAATATTGTCAATTCTTTCTTTACAACCCTAGAGATTAAACAAAAAGAACAGATCATTTGGCTGTAAATAAAATCTGAATCAATAATCATGATAATAAAAGGTATTCATCTATCCATTACAAGTTTAAGTATACTCGACTTCCGGACAACACTGGTTTCATGTGAGGACTACAAATACGAATACTCAGTTGGTCAGACTCAAGTACTGGAAATAAAGTATCAACTGTTGTGGTGCACCAATTGAAAGCCGATTACGTTAATCGCTAAGTCACTTCAAACACAATCACAAACCATTTAAAAGGGAAGGATGAAAGAATGGTTAAAAATCCAAGGGTTTAATGGGGGACTTGCCCATTCTTAGACACTATTAATTAAAATGTCAACGAACAGGCTGAGGTCACTTTAATACACCTCCTATTCAGGCAGGCACACGATATCTGAGGTGTATTTTATCTACGATAACTGAAAACTGATTAGAATAAACGTGTTGCATTATCAATAGGTCAACTATTCGTTGCTAATATTTGGAAGATTTCACAAAACAAACAAACGGATAGTGGCAAGTGAAAATTCTGAGTGGATTTTCTACAGTAAACCAACGACACGTTAAGAAAAATAAAATGCATGTCCAAAGTGGATGCATATATGAACATACATATCCTGAGACTAGTCGTCTGTTTAACAAATACAGTTTAAGACGTGCATATGATGTATATTGTTAAACCATTCTACATATTGACACACATTTATAGATACAAAATGTATGAATTTTATAAAAATAAATGAAATATTCTGAAATTTATAGAGCTAGACAACTAATGCTTACTTACCGTCTGAAAACTGAGCAAAGCGAAATCCATAGCACATTGATCATTTAAACAACAAGAAGGGACTTTAGCAATACCATAGTCTGTAGGTCCATTGTAACCGCAACATTGGAACTAGACAGAAAAATTCAAGCATACATTCATATTCTGATATTTTTTAACATATACAGCTCGATAAGTACATATTCTTGGAAAAAAAATCGCAGTCACATACTTAAGTGGATTGGTTAGTTATAAAGGTAACAAACTATGTGAAATGTGCTTTCGCTTCCTTTGGTAACTTCACATGACAAAATGGTAGTGCAAGGGGCAAACCAATTAGAATTGGGAATACAACCTTTAAGTTTTAGGCAAAATTTCAAAAATGAATGAATTCTGCCATATATAGCGTAACACGAGTAGGAGAAACACTTTTGTGTGACGATCAGAACTTTTAAAGTTATAACGAAAAATTATTTTGTTGTCAGAGTGAAAATTAGTGTGAAATACATAAAATACTTAACCAGACCACCTGGTAGGGATCTGTGGGATTATCGTAACCAAGGGTTAGAGCGTTCAACTTTCATTCATTGAGTCCCAGATAAAAAACCCACGGTCTACTTCGATTTGAGCAACCGGGTAGTATTTTTGGCCCTCAGACTGGATACTCCTCACACTTAAGTACCTCAGTGTTTTATCTTAGAATAATTAGCAATGGCTTAAGTGCGTTCACTCTTTATCTTCCCTTACATCCTGAGTCCCAAAATCTCCTTATATTTGAGACTTGAGAAGTTGGATGTTATTTAATTTAATTTACAGACAAGAAAACCTGGAGACTTTAATAGATTTACTAATTGCATGAAGCTTTTTTAATGTTGTTCTTTTCCATAAACCATTCATTTACAATGGGTTAAAATTCTTCGTGGTTGTTTTAATAATCGCTTAATCGCGCCTTACACTTGCCCTTCAGATAGCAAAAATACCAAGTAAACCGCAGAACGTCTCAGATTTACTTCGTTCAATCGTCAATTAAGATCTAATTTCTACGTTTATATTCATCACATTCATTTGCTTTGAACGTACTTCGGCCGATGCTGATGAAGTATTTAAACTAAACACAAAAAGTACGACTTAACAGTACAATTCAAAACACTAAGACATCTATATTTTAGTAGTCAGCACCTGAATAAATGAAACACGTCTTTGTGATCGATGTGTAGAAAAACATAGTTTTTCGTTCAAGCTATGTAGCATGTAAACGTGAAAAAAAAGGCCTAAACAGATTATTAAAAATATTAAATTAATTTCATTGCCAAGAAACTTATGCTCAACTCGAGTTCCACATACTTCAAAGATAGGGGGAAATATATTGTTACTTGGAGTGAACCTTCCCTCCCCTTTTATTTTTTGTCATAGATATACTTTTAGTAATAATACTTTAGGGACTAACATACTATTTGAGACTAACTGACTGACTTAGTGTATGAAAATGACATAGTTCTGATTGGTGAAGACGACGTCAAATGCAGTTTTGTGAACACGTTGAGTAACAATCCAAAAATATTCGGGATATAGAGTAGGTGAAGCAGCGTTACAACATATGACTACCAAGTCACACATGTAGTTATGGAGATTAGTTGGGAAATTATGAGTCAAAACACATTTTTACAAGTACAAACAATACCATATATGTTAAAATATCATAGCAATTTATTCTTAAATGTTATGAGAAGAAACAGAAATATAGAATATCTTACCATAACATGGATTGCATCCATCCATCGAACTTCATTGTTGGAATTTTTCCAATCTTCAACACCTTCTTTAAGTGTTTCGTGGATAATTGCACGTGCCTAGTAAGGTATTGAATAAAAATGCACAAAGCAAAAATGCAACATAAAGGAATAAATTTGAAATACTTTCTGTGTAATAACTATACCACACAATGTTACGAGTTTAGTTGCATAAATTAATAGCATGATCATCTGTGTATATAATCTACCCTTCCCTAGATTTCTCAGATATTTTACTGTGTTGTGGAGTGCTGAAGCCAATTAGTGTAGTATTTTGTGAATCTTTTGATGTCATTAAAAATGTTTGTCGATAGACAGTTGAAATCTTGGTGAGTTTTATTTTATTAAATACATAACCTGCACCTCATTTGCTTCATACTCCTTGCATATTTTCTAGAAAAACGAAACGCATATGATACATTCACACAAAAAAGCACATAAAATATATAATGCCACATGTAGTACATATATTACACAACAAACAAGTTGTAAGGGTTGACTTAGCCAAAAAAGCAAACTTTTGAAACATTTATTTACATTCTCACTGTTTTTGCAAAGATTTCTATGCCACTGTATTTACGTATTTTTGTATATATATGTGATAAGACAAGTCATAGGAACTTGTCGGAATATTGTGCACTGAGAATTCCATATTGTACTAAATATATAACACTGAACAGACCCAGTATTATTACCAATAGTATTATCATTAAATTACTCAATAGGATATTTCAGTGAAATATGGACGTCATTTGAATGACAAATAGAAGCTAAAAATGGTGGTGTTATTCAACTCATTTAGCACCTGTCAGTTAGCGTAACAGAGCACAATCGGGGTGAGATGAAGCCCTTTGTTATTTAATATACAAGTTCCGGTACAACAGGGTATCGAAAAAGCATGCGACACACAAACAATACTGTAAAGATATAAACGAGAGAAGGGCCGTATGTCGTAAATTGACTTTTCCTTCTGAATCCTAGCGTCGGCAAATAATGCATGATGTGAAAACCATTGGGATATGATTCGTAACAGATGACCAAACCACCAAATCCGGTGTTTTTAAAAATTGGTACCAACTGAGTTATCATCAATGAGCCCGGAACGTCCATATTACCAAAATAGTGCTGCTATTGAATGATAGCGACTGGACTACACGTATACAATTGGTTTGAACCTAGTATTTTTTAACTCCCCTGGATGCACATTTCGTATCCACCTTCGGATGTATCAGGGCATTTGGGGGCGGATCCGTTAAACTGTGAGATGACCATGTTATCATTAGTGTATCACTTTATTCCTTTAGTCACTAGTTTCTAACTTTATGATGATTAGTGAAAATACTCGACTATCCAAATGAAAGTGTGTAGGACGGCGCTTGAATCTGTGATGCATTTACTGAAAGTCAAGTGCTTCAATTATTGTTTTAAACAAAATAACACTGAATGCTTAAGTTATCAGACAACCACTTAACAGATGGTTGTAAAACGTTAAAGATCAGACGTAGTGTGCACCAATAAAGTTAATACATCATCCCCCTAAAGCTCCGAATTCGGTTTAACAAGAGAAATAAGTAATCCATTTCTATCATTAGGCATACCACCACTACAATGCTATGAACACATTTGCGCAAGGTGCTGAGTAAAATCAACAACACTGAAAGAGCACTGGAACTGACATGTACGTAATAGGTTAAGATTACAACTTGATAATTGCAAACCGAATAACCGAGCCATTGTGCGCTACATCCACACTATTGATGTTTAGAACTTTTTGTAAAGTATATACATTTAAATACAAATTTAAACTTACCTGTTCTCTATGGACGAACCCAGCTACGCCAATAGCAATTTCGATGGCGAAAATAACCAGTAACAGAGCAAAATAAAAGCCCAACAAACATCGACTATAGTGATATGAGCCACAACAACCTAATATTCCCAATACAAAGCTCAGAGCCCCAATAGCAGCCAGAACGATATAAGTATAAGCCAATATATTGTGCTGATCAGTACCTCTAACCCCGAATGTTGAAAAGTAGAAGTACAAAGCAGCGGATAAAACAATCATCCCTATGATCTAGAAGCAGAATAAAAATTCAACACAATAATACAGACTCTACAAAAATACCAAAAGGTTTGTTTACTATGCATTTATGTACATGAACTAATCTTACACAAAAGAACTATACATGTTTAAGCTAAAGTATTTAACTATACTATTTAACAAGCTCTGCAAGTTTGCTACTCTTCAGATTCTTATGCTCCTGAAAATCTGAGCAGACCCTCTAGTTCACTAGGTTATTTATCTACAGAGAGAAGTTGGAAAACAATTGGCTTGCGAAACACAGATTTTCAGAGCGTCACATAACGTTAGGGTAATTTGCTATCAAGAACAAACAGTCAAAACACGAGTCTTTTCATTAGTTTATCCTTTCTAGCTTCTGATCAGAACAGGAAAACAAAATCACTAGATATACACTTTAGTACTTTTGAAAGCATAAATTTGCCAGTAGAAAGCTCAACATTGAGATCTGACTTCAATTTAGATGTAGTTGTATTTAGCTGTACTATTATACAATTAACCACGGTATGAGCAGTTTTAGCCAGTATACTTAGATTGCTTTGGTTCATTAAGTTAATAGTTAATCACAGAATGCTTAACAGCGAACTTATTCTAATTACTAACTTATCCCTTTAGTGGTGTGTTGAAGCAGTTATAGACTAAATGAATTATTTGTAAGGGAATAATTCGAGTCCATCACATCTCGAGAAATAAAGTTTAATAAACTTGTAAAAAAATCGTAGCAGTTTAGTTTCTATGAAGAATGGTTATTGTTGGGATGATGGCCAAAATATTGTAGTGAGCGTAAACTTTAAGGGCTTTTAAAATACTAGAGTTTGGTTGGAAGTAGTGCCTTTTCGCCAAACGCTATCATGACCCACTGTAATTGAGATAAACATTTTCCACTACTTACCTAACAATTCATAAGTTAGGTTTAGTCTCGAAGCTAGCACTTAAAGACGGCAGCAACTTGAGCAAATATCCCTTAGCATTTGTGGGTTTCCTCATAAACTTTACCATAAACTCTAAGATAACTAAGAAGGTCAGTTTGAGAGAATGTTGACCAACCACTGTTAGATGATTGGGAACTTTCATCGAATAGGCCTTTCCCGTTCCTTTTAGAAATCTACTGCGATCTGAAATCCCAAAACCCTAATTTACTAGATGCTACTGAAGTTTCTCAAAAGAAAACAATGCGGAAGTTTTCAATTATAAACTTAGATTCAAATCCAGATATACATAACGCCGCCTGGATGTAAATTTGAGAGACCCAAAATATCTCGCATAAGACCTTGTAAGTGGCTTCCAATGCAACCATGATTCATAAGGTATTTTTCCTTGGGACTTTTATAAAACACTATTAATGCAGTCTTGTTAAAATAAGCAATATGATTCTGGTAGATGTCTTAATGTCGCCCACTTCCAGTAGTACCCCATTTTGGTAGATGAAAATGATCTACTTAACGATTGGTTGCATGAAAATTAGTCTTAGAAACACGAAGGATAAGACCATAACGTATGGACAAACCAATATGACTAAGAATAGCGTGCCTTGGGTTTTGGCGAAAACCCATTTATCCATATGGCTAAGTAGCATTTGCGAATTATAGCTGACGTCAGTTCGTGGTGTAGTCCCTTATGCTAATCACAGCTACTCAGACTGATTTGCGACCCTTTTTAGCCTTGGCAAGTTGGTGCATACTTTCAAGCCTAATCAACCATCGTCCAAAATTACCCCAGGTTACAATCACACCAAAACATTTAGTTATATTAGTACATGTACATGTAAAACTTTCGGTGTACCATGCATTTGCACGAGTATGTACGCAGAGTCCCTACTGAGCAGCTGCAAGTAAGTAGTCTAAATAAGAATTCTTAAAAACCACCATATTTATCCAGACAAGATAATCAACACCAGTACCAAACCTTTTCATCCAATGTGATGTCCCCGGTACGTTAGAAAAAAGTTGACATTGAGGTCAGAATAAATTATAAGGGTTCAGAAAGGTAATATTGTGACCCTCCTAACTTAAGTTAGGATATGTTTACAAACTGAAACACTGTGGCCACAAAGGTCCTGAGTTCATTAGGTCATGACTAGTTTCCAATGCCAAAACTCCCTATTTTGGGGTTCTTGAGCCATTTTCCCAAACTTTTCTATAGCGGTTTCCCAAAAATAAGATTTGGTGGTTCTAAACAATATGAACATAAGTTATTACTTGTTATAATACACTACAAAAGCACTTACTGTAAACAGGATGTTAAACACAATCATCAGCACGCGAACGCATCCTGCACAAGACTTGCACATCCTGAGGAAAAAGACTACAACGCTCAACGATCTTCCAGAATTCAAAGCAAGTACGGACCCCGGGTAAATATGTTAACGATCGTGGCTCAATGTCTTATTGACAAAGAGCCAGTCCAATATTCAATTTTAAAAGACTAAGTTACCTACAAAATTTTAGAACCGAGTCTAAATGTGGATATACATTTGATTCTGGATGGAGGAATCAGTGTGTGTACATATATGCTTGGTTGATATATCTCACCAAGAACTAGATTCAGATTTGTGCAGTAAGGACAGAAGGCCTACGGCCTATGTTATTCCTTATCTAGTGTGCTTCTGTGAGTGTCCAATCTTCTCTTGAAAGAGTCAATTGAAGGTGTGGGCACCACTGCTTCAGGCAGCAGGTCTCAAGTACTGATGACTCGGTGTGAAAACCTGTATACCACGGGTATTTTGTTCGTTCTTGGCTTTTCTATTCGCGTGCTATGTCCTCTGAAGTGTCCCGATCTAGTGGGAAGAAAGAGAGAATAAGTTAGGTCCGAAATCATTTCTCGGTATTCTGTATATCAAAATTAGATCTCCCCTTAGTCTGAGATAGGACCGAGTAAAGAGGTTCAGTTTTTCAAGCCGCTGTTTGTATGATAAACCCCGGAGTTCCGGAATTGCACGGGTAGCTGCCCTCTGTACTTTTCCTAGTATGTCTGAGTCACCTTTTAAGCAGGGGCTTGCAGCCTGAACGCAGTTTTCTAGCCTATTTCTCACTAAGGATGTGTATGCTGTGGTAAACATGGTAGTATCTAACTTAATGAATGTCCTTTTTAAAGCCCAGAGGGTTCGAAACCCCTTAACTGCGACCTCCCGGAAATGGGGCGTCGTCTTAAGATCATTACTCACTGTCACCCCTAGATCCTTATAAGACCGGACTACGGGTAATGACACATCCCCTATGTTGTACGTATTAACCTTTGAATCCCTCAAGTGCATGTAAACACACTTTTGATAGGCACCAGCCACTCTTTAGACCAGCTTATCATATTATTTAAGTCTGCCTGAAGAGTACATGTGTCTTTGTCTCCACTTACTACTCGCCAAATTTTTACATCGTCAGCGTATAATAACATTGGAGACTGTACTATACTTGTAAGATCATTGACGTACATTATAAAAAGTAAAGGACCTGGGACGGAACCTTAAGTTACCCCACTAAGCACTGGTCTCCAGATGGAGCACCTGGAGTTTATTCTTACTTTCTGTCTACGACCTACTAAAAAATGCTTAATCTATTTCAAAAGAGGTCCGGCAATACCAAGGTTTTCTAACTTCAACAGCAATCTATTAGTTGGCACGTTGTCAAAAGCCTTACTGAAATCTATGTAGACAACATCCACTGAGTTTCAGTTGTCTAGCCCATTAATCCAGAACTCCCTAGCTATAAGGAGGTTCGTTGTACAGGATAGACCCTTTCTAAAACCATGTTGTGCCATGTTCAGCAAGTCATTGGTTTCCATAAATGCTGTTATGGTCCGTTTGATTATCCTTTCCAGTATTTTAATTACAACACTGGTGAGGCTTACGGGTCTGTAATTCGATGGAACTTGTCGTGGACCTGTTTTATGTATGAAAGTGACGATTGCGTCCTTCCACTCCATAGGTAACACACCTTGGTCAAGTTACATATTGAATATCACAGTCAGTGGGGCCGCGATATATTGGCAATATGTCTCAAGATTTTGGGGTGTAGTTCACCTGGTCCTGTTGACTTCTCCATGTTTAGGGTGCTGAGAGCCTTAAGCACATCGTTTTGGTCGAAGTCCACGGTGAGCAGCTGGTTTGTTGACTCTGTATTTGGGTCTGGTTCTTTCTCTAGAGGAGGTTCCTCAGTGAAAACTGCCCCAAAATAGTCAGCCATAGCCTCTGCTTTTTCCTGATCTTCCTCTATCATTTCAGATTCACTCCCTACTTTAATTAGGTTGGGAATCCAATGATGCATCCTTGTTCTGTAGTTTATGTACGAGAATATTCTCTTGGGCTTCCTGAGTGGAGCTTGTGCCAGCTGCATTCCATATTTTCTCTGAGCTCCCCGAATTTTTGCTATACACTCGCTTCTTGTCGATCTGTAGCGTTCCATCGTACCTGCTGTGCCAAGGCGGATGGCAACATCCCAGCATTTCTTTTTTTGTCTTAGTAAGCGTCGACTATCCCGCCCTATCCAGGGATGGCCGTGCTTCTTTTTATTTGGGACAGTCCAGGGTATGTATGGTTGAGTTACTCGATTGTATAAATGCCTGAATAGAGTCCATGCCTCTTGTACTGATGCCTTTGAGTCAATTTCCCAGTTTTCAGCCGATGCTGCGGAGTTAATTGCCTGCATACCTGCCTCCCATACGTTGGGACGGGCCGGTGCAACTGTTTGACAGGCAACCTCAGCCATGAATTTGAATAAGATGACTGCATGGTCACTTCTCATAAGTGGTGAGAGAAAAGCCATTTGACCAACGTCATCACCGTGTGTGAAGACTAAATCTAATAGAGAAGAAGAGTTTCTTAAGTCGTATCTTGTGGGATCTCTAATGTGTTGGAATAATGCTAGTCCAATCGAGGTTTCTAACGATGATATCGACGACCCTACTTCTAAGTTAACCCAGTTTATATATGGTGCATTAAAGTCGCCTAATACAAGACTTTTACCGTTGTTACACCAGGACTTAAGTTTACTTAGGAGAAAATCATCTGCTACACATTCTGGACTGCGATATACTACAACTACTTCAACATCTTGCTGTCGGCATTTCAACGTACATCTCACCAGTTCACATGTCCCTGAAACATGTGCTACTGTCTCAGCTAATCTTATGGTTAGATTACTTTTCGTGTACAGAATAACCCCGCCTCCCCTCCGGTTTAATCTATCAGCCCTACTGGTTATGAAACCAGTCAACTCGACTTCACTATCTACTACTTCTGACGTTAACCAAGTTTCCGAGACAGCAATAACCTTCAATTTTTCTTTATCCACTACTGACTTGAGCTCAGCCATTTTATTTAGAAGACTGCGAGCATTTGTGTAGTATACCTTTAAGTCTGTGGAGAGCTTTCCCTTGCCACTTAGAGTGGCTTGGGGATCGTTTTGCTCCGAACTTTTACAATTTGAAATCCCATAAGAACGAGGTTTCTTCCACCGTTTTGGCGACGCTCGTTTATTTCCGCTTCTGAAGCTCGTCTCTTAATACGATCAGCTAGGCTGAGATCCTCACGGACATATATTCCGGATCCAATCAGTTTACGTGATTTACTTAGAATCAGGTTCCTTTCTTCCACCGTGTTGAATGTAACCTTTAGGGGGCGGTTTTTCTGAGGACTTTCGGAATCAACCCTTTTTTCCTATTCTATAAAGCTTACAAATACTAACTCCTGAAACTGTATCTGGGAGTAGTTTACTTAATGATGTCTTAATATGATTAAGATCGTATTCAAATCTTGCCTTTGGTTCTGTACCTGAAGATTCTCTTATTTTATGAAAAATGACTGGTCTCTCAGAGAGATCTGCCTTGTCACGCAGTGAGGATTTTTCTTCTGATAACATCCCTTCCAATGCCTTGCTGACCAGCTGCGTTTTGCCCACAGTCTTTTTCTCCCCATTTATTTTTCTCCCTACTGAAGTCCATTTGTCACCACTCGGGACAGCCACACCTGGACTATGTGGAACGGTGACAGTTTTATCCGGATCTTCTATTTCGACTAGAAGTGCACGACTGCCGATGTCAATATCAAGCGACACTTCATTCCTCGTTAATGTCAACGGAGACTTCACGTTCTCGTCAACCTCAGTCAGGTGTTTAACGGGTCTAGTAGCAGCACTTACTCCACTGACACATTCTTCACCCTCAGCGCTCTTGTTATCAGTGCTTCCGCCATCAATTTTCTTGCAGGTCAAAGCCAATAGGCCCATAGCCTAGTGAATTAGTACATTTTTATCCGTACAGCAGAACATACAAAGGCAATGCGAGTTAGGCTTCGAACATCTTTTGTAAGCCGTCGGACTTGGGCGTGTACACATTCTGTGGTACCACATTTTACAATCGTCACACTTCATTCCCTCCTCAACGGGGAACAAACAATTTGGTTGCCCACATTTGTGAGTCTTATCAACCATTGAAATTCGATTTAAAAAGTTTAAAATCACAAAATGATCACAATGTGAACACAAGTGTTAGTCAAGGAGTAAAAAAAGGTACTCAGGACAAAATTTAGCAAAAAATTTCAAACTTTAACCAAAGTACTTTTAGTTAAAGTAGACTAAGAATGTTTTTTGGTGCAATGAGTACCAAAAGCAAGTATAATCACAACAAGTACAAAAATCACTGCCCTTTTAGAAACGAGCGCGGTAGCGGTTACTTATGGAAATGACATTCATTTGGTTATTGGTTTTTCATATCTCTATAAATTTTGGCTTGGCTTTTCCCACATATTTTTAACGCTTTTAAAAAGTCGATTATAGACAATAGATATATTTGTTAGAAATTCTGTTTTAAGTTGCTGTGGAAAATGAACTCCTGGGACAAATAATTCTGTGATTATTTGATACTCATGCTTACCGAATTAGTTTTACTCGGTACACCTTTATTCAAAGGCTCTTAGTCAAGCATACGCACCGATTCATATTTGAGTACACCTTACTGAACATCTCTTGCTACAACTAGTCAACTTGGGTTGTATGCTCTTCGACGAATCAATCATAATCCAATTATGTAATCTCAGCCCTCCTTTCTCGGCTTCTGGTTTATTTGGGGTTGAGGTCGTTTTGTGAGAAGAGGTATCGGATGGCAGTGTTAATAAACGCTGCTTGTTAGTCACGCCCGTTTTATTTACCATAAGTTTGTGAAGATTAGGTATGAAGAATGTGATGAAGCTCCACGTTATACAAATGGTTGAGTCATATGTACAGTCTTATTACTCTATGAGGGCAAAACTATCCAATGAGAAATCAATAGACCTTATCGCTAGGAATCCAAACTTCAAAT